CCCCCCCCCCCCAATGTCTTTGTGTTAAGCAATCGAGAAATCCTTCACAAAACAGTCACATGTCATCACATTATCGACCAAAGTGACCCCCACTCCATAACGGTGGTTACTAGAATATCAAGGCAATTAGATGATTGCGTCCCTTCCTCCCTTTGCCCAGGTTCATGTAAATGCACCCTCAGTATAAACACACGCCAAGGAGCCCTCCCGAGCCCCATGCATTTAGGCGGAGACTACTGTAACTTTTGATGACTTTTTCCCTTGCTTTAAGCTTTTTGTCTTCTTTAAAAGGATCACAAGACAATCTTTTTGTTTTTAGCTTTAGTAAGAGTTTTACGGCACCTGCAACACAATATGGTTATATAAGTGCCGAAGATTAGAGGTGAACAAGAGAATAACAAACATAAAAAAGGAGGAGAGATCAGGACGATAGATGTTTCATAGGAAAGAAGGAGCAAACCACACCAGAGCACCCGCCAACCACCCACTGACAATCTTTGACAAAATTCATGGTTCATGGGCAGCTGCACATAAATCATATGTAGGCTTTTAGAAAATAGGCTGTGGACATTCAAATACTGTCGGATACGAGAAAAATGTTTACACCAATTCCACTTTTCTGAAATTTCTGAAACAGCAGCATTCCCTCCTAAAGTATGTGCAGCCCACAATTCAATACATACTCTTGTTTAGATATATATGTAAGAGAGAAACAGACTAACAAGTCACACTAAAATGATATTTCTTTGAGGAGGAGCATTTCTCGTTGCCGATGTGCAGAGGGTGGTATGTGCATGTATGTGACTTTGTGCACATTTATGTGAGTGCATGTGTATGAATGCATGTACGCGTGTGGGTGGGAGGAAGGAAGTCAAATAAGCTGCAATAATGGAAGAGAGACTTACCGTTCCCCCTTTTTGTGCACATTCCCAAAGGCGCAGGCGTCTAAGAGAAGAGATGTCCACTTAGTGGCAAGCCTTCTGTCTGGGTCATCTTTCAAGATGTGGCCACAGATGTGGTCAAACATGAGGAAAGTTATGCCCGTCTTTTCAGATCCCAAAGTCCATAGCTTTTGCATAAACTGTAAGAAAATTACAAATTTAAAAAAAATGATTGCTAAGAAATAAAAATTGTGTATGTTCATAGTGTCTTGTTCTTAATAAAAGCCATCGTTTTCTATCACTCATCCACATGGATTATAGGCCAATTGATCACTTCTTAATTAAAACATCCATCATCAAGAAATAAATTCCCCGAAAAAGTGATAAACAGAATAAAGTAAGCAGAACTTACATCTGATGAAATTTGTGACTTCTCAAATGTCATAATGATACCAGATCATGGTAAATGTCTGATAATGACCAATGCTTCCGCAGAGGAGAATATTTCTCAAGTGTGATTTTTTTTTTAATAAAGGGGGGGGGGGGGGAGTAGACAATACAGAAATACAGACCTCCTTCATCCCCTCCTCCACTTCTGGATCCTCATGCTGCATGAGCGACTTGTGCAGGCCCAGTGGGATCAGAGATTCCAGTTTCTTCCAGAACAGAATGTTCTTCTTTTCCTCCATCAATTTTTGCCACGCCAGATCCAGAAACTGAGGGATTTTGGCTGGTGGGGCATGCTGAGCAATCTGAAAGATGAGATAGAATAGTACTTGCAGAATTTAGGGTAAAAGTGTACCCCCCATCCAACCCCAACCACCTATTTTGAACTCTTTCAACCAAGTGCACAACATTCCGCACCGTGGGGAAGCAGTTTGCTGCAAAAATTGTCATGCCTGAAGACGGGGGGGGGGGGAGCAAACACAATGGCCAAAAATACATGCTTTCTTTAACAAAGAAAACAAGACAAAACGTTAATAGCTTTGGCAAATAAACAAAGAAAAACAGACAGGCAATTGCATCAATAAAAGGGGAAAAAATTGTTCTTAATAATCAGCCCAAAGAGTACTCTCCAATACAGAAATACATAACTTTTGTAAAGTATATTTAACCCTATCCGAACGCCCTGGGGTTATTTTGTACCTCCGGGGTTGTATTCTTCACATTTTAGAATACTTCTAGTACGAAGATCTCTTTGAAACTTTCAGTATTTCTCTAAAAATCATTTTGACAGACTGCTATGCAAAGCGCACGGATCGGACTAGCGAGTAAATTTCCTCTTTTGAAAGTGGTGGCACGATGGATACGATAGCAAAACACGATGAACGGATAGGGTTAAAAGTATAATATTGTACGCTTTTTAATCACAAAAAGCTTTCATCACACACTCATATATATAATGCACACAAAGACATCCAAAATCAGTATTCTTCTAACCTGAGGGGCAATGACTAACAAAGCCTGAAAAATGGCGATGTCGGAGCTGCCTGAGCCGATGGTCATATCTTCCATGGCCTGCTCAAGGACAGAGGAAACACTGTCTCCATCTAGCCCGCTCTTGTTGTGTTGCAGCACGTGGCCTTGACATTGCCACTTGCTGGAGATGAAGCGACTGATGACACGTCCAACTTGAGCTCTGGAGCCGGAGTCGTTACTGAGGAGCAATACCTTGAATTACTTGAATGTAGAGTGGGGTCTTAGGATGACGGGGAGCTCCATGCTTCCTCGCCCCTCTTCATGAGGGTCCATTTCAGCAATACCTTTGTAATCAGAATCATCTTTGCCAAATTTACTCATCATTTCGGAAGACAGACAAAGCTTAACACCTCACTAGTAAACATAGTATTTATGAGCGCACGACACAGTCAGAAAGAGCATCTCATAAAGAAATTAATCTTTGTAGTTTTCAGGAATATTTTTCACTGGAAAATACTCAATCTAGGCTTTTTTCAATGATACCAACCAAAAGTCGTTATGATGTGAGTACTAGATAGCATATTTTGTTCAAGGACAAAATAGAGGCAATGTTAAAGAAAGCTCTGCTGTAAGCTGACAAAACTATTTTTTTTTATTTACAGCAGTTTTGACAAAAAGAGATTTTTTGTTAGTGTAACAATTTAAAAAGTGTTGTTCCGAGATTTGAATTATAGTATATAAAAAAAAACTAGTTTTGGATCTAGTTTCACTTCGATTTTTTCACACAGTATTTTGGCGCCAAAATGAAAAAAGGTGTTTTGTCAGCTTATAGCAGAGCTGAGGTTGAAGATCAGTCATAGATCCAGCCTGCTCATCTGGTTTTGCAGCACGACTATGACACTGCAACTTGCCGGGGACAGAGTGGCTGATGATGTGCTCAACCTGAACTCTGTAACCCGACTCATCACTAGGGAACGACACCATCCTAACTATAGTTGTTTGTAAAACTGGTAAAAGTAAAGTGTAAACCTATCACCCCACCCCACCCCTACATCCTGTACTAGCAGATAAAGGAAGAAAGACAGAAAAAAAATAATAAAAGGGGAAAGAATGAAAGAAAAATACAACGGAAAAAAAGAGAAAAGAGAGAAACAAAGAAATGAAGGAGCACAACAAAGGTCTTTGATATCCGTTGTCCCTCACCTCACACCTTTCCGGCTAAAAGGTAACGGCAGATCTGACAACGGCATGGAAACTTGCGCCACTATCTCAGATATAACTGCACTTCTCTCACTCTGAAGAACTTTACTCCGAGAGATGATCTTGAAGACAGTGGATAGAAGACGCACAGCACTACAACTCAGTACATCCAACTTAGCCAGATCCTATAAAAGGAAAAAAATACAACAACAAAAAGAGTTCCCCTATATTTTCCAATGTATAAAATCATTAGGTGGTTAAACTACATACTACATAATCCAAGGGATCAGTCATGAGTTTGAGAGGGGAGAAGCACATTGACACGATAATACTCATTTAGTGTAGCAAAAGGACAAGAAAGATAGACAGAAACAACACAGGGAAACAGAAGCAATAGGAGCTACCACATAGTCCCTCTAACCTCCCACAATCACTTGAGACCCACAGATAAAAATCTAACAGCCTATGAAAACTTCCAAGCCATCACTTTGTTGGAGATAGAGTACACAATATAAAGAATATTCAAGAATTAATTTTATAACTTGTAAGTGAAAGGGTAAGGTGAAAAAGCATGTATGTGCACCATAAAGAGGTGGCCGACATTTCATCTCGCAAATGACAGTAATTCTATATATTATATACCAGATCTTAAAAGATGTTAATGTAAAAATGATAATTTTATCAATATAGGCTACTGTTGATGTTTTAGGTTGTTTGAGTTTTTCCCCCAGGATATGAAATTCACAATTCAATTGTCTTAGTTTTGCTTTATATATCAAGCTTTAAATATCTTTTTGTTTTATTTTTATCTGAGGGGGTAGTATGCTAAAGTAAATCTAAAAAAGATGCAAACTTTTCCCCAATATAAAAACTTAAGTCTATTAGTCAGGCACATAACATAAGTGGAATATCCTAGCAAAGAAAGACTAATAAGGTCAAGTTGGAGGGTGGAATACACCTCAAAATCTACAAGGTGCAATTGGTGTAATTCCAAACCACATACACTTATGAAAACTACATTCAATTTCTAACATAACTGCTAAATTTCCTTAAAACCTAAGAGTAAATGTAAGAAATACAGCACTTTGAAATATACACCCTGAATTCAAACTCATATGGCGCGGCGGCCCCAGGACGGGTCCAGAGCCTGTGGGGGTACGGCCAGGATAAAAAGAGTTAAAAACACAGCAACATAATTCCACATACCTGTGGGCTGTCTGCCCCTGACGCAGCTGAGTGGAGCACATTGTTCACAAAAGTGACCAACTCGCGCAACGATGGCAGCACATCCCGGCAGTGAAGGCCCAGGGACAGGAGCACGTCCGTGTAAAACTTGATCTCATCCAAGTCTCCAGCCTAGAGTAGACAGCAGGAACAGAGTAAAACTTTTTTTTTTTTTTGGAAGAAACCATTTGTGAGGAAAAATGAGTGAACCTGATGGCAAAGGTTAAGTCTATAAGAGAAATATATACACGGAACTGAAGACCTAGGGGGTAACTTCACATGTCCACAGCATAAAAATAACTCTAAAATTTTTGTTTAAGACTTCAGCCTTATTAACTAACATTTCTATCACAGTGATATCTAAAACTTTATAGCCAAAAAATTCTAAAAAGACCACCCCCCCCAACAAAATGCAAACTCATCTGATAAAAAATGAAGTGAACGATAATGATGTAATGGACATTCAATACTGTACTTTCAATAACTCAAAGTGCGCCGATAGAAAAAGCAAAGTTGGAAAAAGTGTTACCTGAGTCAGGTGGGTCTGCAGCCTGTACTGAGTGTAGTGTACAGTGTCTGTGAAACAGCTTCCCAAACTCTTGCTGAGCATTTTGTCTACTTCCCCATCTCCAGAATCTGAACAGAATGTCACAGAACCAATATCAAAAGTTAGATAAGCATAGCATGCTTAACAGAGAATAGGTGAGGCATCCTGATGAAACCAGGTGCTATCAAAATAATGAAATAGAAGAAACTGGCATTTTTCTGCAGGTCTGGCAATTTTTATCCAATTTTTGCTTTCCGGCTCAAAAGAAAGCTTTTGTGTCAGTTTAAAAACACATTTCTGTGTGGACTTCACTGAAAAATCTTAGATGAAAGTCAGAAAGGCAAAAGAAATATAAATTTGCAGTTTCCAACGACTCTGAAGCTATTAAAGCCACCAAAGTTTGGCGGACATTTCCTTGCTAATTTTACCTATGACACCTGGCAACCCCCACACCCTTCAATTATAAATATCTCCAATTCTATTTAAGACAGATGGGTAAAATTCATCAAAAGCATGGCAAATGAAAAGGCTTTAGCTCACTGGCTACCCGAGCCACATATGACGCGGTCTTAGTACTGTTTAAA